ATTATTTTTGACAAATGTCAAAGCAAATATGTAGATGTGCTAGAAAAAAGTTAACACAAAGTCAATCTAGAACACATAAACATTAATAAGAATGCCAAAATTAAATATAAGAATAGAAAACGCAACATAATTTGGTTTAACTCACCATTTACAAAAATTGTCTAATCCAATATAAGTAAAATTTTCCTTAATTTAATTCACAAACATTTCAGCCATATACAATTACCCAAGAAAATCTTCAACAAGAACAACATTAAAGTTAGTTACAACTGCACCAAAAACATCGAATAGTATATAGTACAACATAATAATATAAAATTAAAATATTTAAGCAACTTCAATTGCATAAGTGTAATTGCCGAAAAGACAGTACCTGTCCACAAAATCATAAATGAATGAATAAAGGCTTTAAGACTAGTATTAAACATAATGACAAAACTAAATTTCATTTTGGTTCCACTGCAAATCACTGGAAGACCCGGTTTTACCCTCATAAAATAAATAATATTCAAATGCCACGGCACTCTCAAAAATGTATTGCGAAATAAAAACAAGTAACTCCACACCTGTAGTAAATTTCGTCGCCAAAGCCAGCCCCTTTTCCGGCCACGGCGACCGATGTAACCTGTGTTTGATGATTTAAAAAGATTCATTCTCGAAAATATTAACGACCCCAACGTGCTGAACAGATGCCGTGAACTTTGTACTCATGAAAAGAGATCTCTCCTAAAGTGGTTGGATTCTGGATAAATCTTTTTACCCAACTTCAATTTCATCGTTAAATATTTTAGGTTAAATACTTATTACTCCCAACCCTTTAACCATTTAAGCGTCTATTACCGTATTTTCCAGCTTACAAGACGCATTGGTATGCATCGAAACACGTCTGCAATTGTGTAGCGATTTTTACATCTTAAAATAAATAATATTGGTCTAATCTGTATTGTGCCCTTTTTTAAATTAAAACTAAGTAATTGTACTCTGTTCGTTTTCATCTTACACACATACACACACACACACACACACACACATATATATATATATATATATATATATATATATACATGGACGAGCATGAAATCGACTGTTACCGTTTCGTGTTGACCTCAGTGTCCACTTTTATATTTATAGACGCTCTATTTTTTACCGATAAATATAGCATACCTTAAATCAATATATATATATATATATATATATATCGCCTATATTTTGATAGTATTGAGACATTGAGACATGTTTCATTAAATAATTTAGATAAGTTTTGTTTACTTATTTTTAATTGGATCCTTTCATATTCATGGAGAAGCTTTTTGATTTTATTATTAAAGGAAAAGAGAAAATCGCCCTGTTGGCACATAGTATTTTTTATTTCCGAGTACTTTCGACATAGCACAATGTCATCATCAGGGTGTTGTTTATTTCGAGATAAATATTGTAATGTTCATCATTTTGAAAGACAAAATTGCTGTGTTCATCTGAAAGTTAACATTCCTTTTTTACTTATTTAGTGAAGAACGCTGAGTGAGTACTGTGCCTGGCTTGATTAAGTCTACAGGTGAGGTAACTAAAGTATGGTGTTGTCGAGAAGTTTAAGAAATATGTATTAAAACTATTAGTACAAATATATATTCGATATTTAAAGCTATCTACTGTAGACATTTTAAAACGTTTGGGCAGTACAGTGTTCATAATTAACGTATTTTCCGGTTTACAAGATTCTGCGGGTTGGAAGACGCACCCTAATATTGGAAAGAAATTTCTAAGAAAAAAAAAACTAATTTTTATACAACACATTCACCATGCGCCCCTCACTTACTGGCGTCATGTATTGTTTACATTAATTACTCGTCTGATTTTGTTTGTATGGCAATGACATACTAGTCAAAAGTAGAAAGGCTTCCGTCGCTGCTTGCAAACAGAGTATGTTTAAGCTTGTGGCTCAGCTCCAGGAAGGTTTATAGTCTTGGAAATACTTGTAACAGCTAAGTGATGAGGTTACATCATATAAAAGGCTGAATTAGAAAGCTAGCATTATAGTGTAATGACTCAACATATAAATCCAGGTCCCTATCAGTTAAGCCAATTGAGTGACCGTCCAAGCTTACTTGAGCCTGGGCGTAGTCTTACATTCCTCTTGGAAAGCAATGGCACAGTTGTCAAGAGCAAAAAGGATCCCGCCGCTGCTAGTAAACAGAGCATGTTTAAGCTTGTGGCTCGGCTCCAGGAAGGTTTATAGTCATGTAAATACTTGCAACAGCTTACATCATATAAAAGGCTGAATTAGAAAGCTAACATTATAGTGTGATGACTCAACATATAAATCAACGTCCCTATTAGTCAAGTCAATTAGGTGACCGTCCAAGTTTACTTGAGCCTGGGCGTTGCCTTACATTCCTCTTGGAAAGCAATGGCACAGTTGTCAAGAGCAGAAAGGATCCCGGCGCTTCTAGTAAACAGTGCATGGTTAAGCTTGTGGCTCGGCTCCAGGAAGGTTTATAGTCATTATAGTGTGATGACTCAACATATAAATCCAGATCCCTATCAGTCAAGCAAATTAGGTGACTGTCCAAGTTTATTTGAGTCTGGGCGTTGTCTTACATTCGTCTTGGAGCACGCACGTATTTTTCAGGAAAAAAAGTGCGTCTTGTAAACTAGAAAATACGGTAATACGTAACAGGTTATATGGCGTTCGTCTTTTCTTTAAGTTTACTTTTTTCCTCTTACCTTTTACCATCTCTGTCTATCTACACTTTTTAGATTTTATTTTAATTTATATCCTAATATTGTTAAACGTTAGCCTTATATACTGGGCAGTGTTACTCCCTTGAAACATAGATATATTCAAACATCTATATATGTATGTATGTATATATCTATCTACGTCTTTTCATTAATCTATCTATATTAAACCTCAAATATCTATCTATCTATCTATCTATATATCTATCTCATTCTGTTTATATCTATCTATCTATCTATCTATCTATCTATCTATCTATCTATCTATCTCATTCTGTTTATATCTATCTATCTCACATTTAATATATATATATATATATATATATATATATATATATATATTAAATCCCAAATATGTATGTATGTATCTATATTTTTTCATTAATCTCAGTGTATTCATATCTATCTATCTATCTATCTATCTATCTATCTATTCTTAGCTTCTTCAATACGTATCTATCTATCTATCTATCTATCTATCTATCTATCTCAGTCTGTTTATATTTATCTATCTATCTATCTATCTATCTATCTATCTATCTATCTATCTATTTAATTCACTCTTATCTATCTATCTATCTATCTATCTATCTATTATAGAGGTTATTTATAAACAATATACAATCCACCTATTGCTTGCTCCTTACACTTTATAAGTTCTTAACTTAAAGCTTTTTTTCTCTGACGGAAAAACATGGACCATATAAACTTTAAGCATCATTTTTTTGCTTTGTTTTTTCCAATATCTCCCTCTATATAGTCTATATTTTGAAGTTATACTGCAAGAATATCTTCAAATATCTATATATGTATGTATGTACATATCTATCTACGTCTTTTCATTAATCTATCTATATTAAATCTCAAATACCTATCTCAGTCTATTGGTATCTATCTATACCTCAGTCTATTCACACACACATATATATATATATATATCTATATATATATATATATATATATAATAAATTCACATATGTATGAATCTATGTTTTTCATTAATCTATCCTGATTAAATCTCAAATAGCTATCTCAGTCTATTCATATATATCTATCTTATTCTGTTCATATCTATCTATCTATCTATCTCAGTCTATTCTTATATATCTATATATCTATACTAAATCTCAAATATCTCAGTCTGTTATATATATATATATATATATATATATATATATATATATATATTATATATTGTCATCCACAGACAGACTGTTTCGCTGTATCACAGCTCATCAGTGTGGCTAGACATCCAGTTGCCTCTAGCTAGGATCGAAACCCGATTGAATTGGCGTCAGTCGGGTATTCTACCACTAAGCCGTTGGCGCACGGCAGGGATGAAGATAAACACCCAGTGACTGAGACAACTCAATTCGATTTATGTATGCATTTATCTATCTATATTTTTTCATTAATCTCAGTGTATCCATATCTATCTATCTATCTATGTAGATATTTGAGACTTAAATATTAGTTTGGGGAATTAACCCGAGGACGAAACGAGTCGGTTAAGTTTTCCTTTCGTCTTTATTCCTAGAGAGAGTGAGTGAGAGACAGACAGACAGAAGCAGAGAGAGTGAGTGACAGACAGACAGACAGAAAGAGAGATGAACAGAGGGAGAGAAAGTGACTGACTCCAATATTATGATCATTATTAGCCTGATGAACTCACCTGCCACTTGGGAGGTTTGTTTTTTTTTTCATTCAATTACCCCTCCCCCCCACCTTTTTATATGCGTAACATAGAACCCATAAATGCGAATAGAAGTGATATCACCATTAAACTCTGGTATTTGTATGCCACGCAAAGATTCAAGTGAACAAAGCGCTTCACCCAAAGATTCTCAGGAGGTTTTTGCAATGATTCCCACTGTTGGTGTGTTTAGTCCTAGAATGACTAAAACATTTGCAGTTGGTGTGTCAGCCACTGATATTTAGTAAGGAAAACGAGGAACTGATAAGATTTTAGCATTAGACGACTCTGGCAAAATATTTTACTAACATTTATAAATTATTCAAAAATATAAAATCCCTTTTACAGATAGGTGGAAAGACATACGGGGGCAGATAGATAGATAGATAGATAACAGAGTGGATTAGATAGATAGATAGATAGATAGATAGATAGATAGCAGAGTAAATTAGATAGATAGATAGATAGATAAATAGATAGATAGATGAATAGATAGAACAGTGAATCAGATAGATAGATAGATAGATAGATAGATAAAAGATAGATAGATAGATAGATAGATAATAAATTAGATAGAATCAGATAGATAGATAGATAGATAGATAGATAGATAGCAGAGTAAATTAGATAGATAGATAGATAGATAGATAGCAGAGTAAATTAGATAGATAGATAGATAGATAGATAACAGTGAATCAGATAGATAGATAGATAGATAGATAGATAGATAGATAGATAGATAGATAGATAGATAACAGAGTAAACTAGATAGATAGATAGATAGATAGATAGATAGATAACAGGGAATCAGATAGATAGATAGATAACAGTGAATTAGATAGATAGATAGATAGATAGATAGATAACAGGGAATCAGATAGATAGATAGATAGATAGATAGATAGATAACAGAGTAAACTAGATAGATAGATAGATAGATAGATAGATAGATAACAGTGAATTATATAGATAGATAGATAGATAGATAACAGTGAATTATATAGATAGATAGATAGATAGATAGATAGATAGATAACAGAGTAAACTAGATAGATAGATAGATAGATAGATAGATAACAGGGAATCAGATAGATAGATAGATAGATAGATAACAGTGAATTAGATAGATAGATAGATAGATAGATAGATAGATATGAATAGACTGAGAAAATAATTCTTCTTCAACAAAGACTCAGAGACACTTTCGAACTCTATCAAGACGAATAAGTGAGGTCTGGGCAGCTCATGACCAAATATGGTAAAAGTACACACCATTTGGGGCCTGATCTGGTTCTTATAAAGTTAGATACAGGGAGCCGATCATTTTATCTCCATCCTTAGCGTTGGATCGTATGTACAATTGTACGCCCTTTTCGATGGGTCATATGACAACAGTCAGTCAGTTTATGTGCCATGCGTGATAAACGTATAGGCGATCATGTATCTTTCGATGCACATTTTTTTCCCCACAGTAGGTTTCCATTTTTTTTCTACGGTAGACCAGTTGCCATTCAAGGCTATAAAACCCGGTCTGTCCTGATATTTACCCATAGCTGAGGGGAAGAAGAGGATTCATATATTTCCCAAGGGTATTAGCACATAAGTGAATGGAATGGATTCGACTGGAATTCGAAATCGGCTCTCCGATTCCTCATTCCAAGCCTCTATTCATTACTCCTCCTCCGGTGACAACAGTAATCCATTTTCATTTTAGTCCGGATAATCGAGGTGCGGATAAGTCAAGAAAGAGATGGACTAAGAACTGCATTAAGTTCGGATAACTGAAAAATATTCGGATGATTTATGTTTTCATCTGTATTTCAAGTCCGGATAATGAAATACGGATAGTCGGAGTCCGGATAATCGGAGTCCGGATAATCGAAGTGTGCATAAGTCAAGAAAGAATTTCACTAAATACGGCGTTTAGTTCGGATAACTCGAAAATGTTTGGATGATTTACGTTTTTCCCTGCATTTCCATTCCGGATAATCGAAGTCCGGATAATCGAGGTGCGAAAAAGTCAAGAAAGACCTGGCCTAAGAACTGCGTTTAATTCGGATAACTGGAAAATGTTCGGATGATTTATTTTTTCCTTGCGTTTCAAGTCCGGATAATCGAATTCCGGAAAATCGAGGATGTAATCTACAAAAAATCAACATTCTTTGCCAAGTGTTCTAAGAATTAAGACACGATATAAATCTTTCGAAGAGAGAAACTTTTATCCGGAATTTGAATGAAAACAGTTGTGGTACGTAGATAATAGATATTTTGAATGCCGAATTAATGAACAGGGTACTTCCATTAATTCGCTGAAAAATGAGCATACCATGATCAATAAATGTTTCCAAACGCTATAAAAATATAGTTTTATCATCAGAATATTTGTTATTATTAAAGGAAAGACCAAAGTATTTTTTGATTATTTTATTAATTTTTTTAATCCCTTTTGGCATGTTCGAAAATTTGGCTAAAAACGTTTTTCTTGCTAAAGATCAGTATTGAAAAATTTCAGTGTCTTTTTAGGTGTTAAAAACACATTGATTTGGAAATTCTTGCAAAACTCGAATAATTGTTGGATTTTAATGAAATTATCAGGAGTTATACACAATTTCTTTTTTTAGAAAATCTTAGTAAAATATTTTTTACACCTGTTACCCCCAGTTAATTTTATGAACTTTTGAGAAATTAAAATTTCAGCCTGTTCATATTTATATTAGTTAAAAGCAGCAGTCCTTGGAGAATTTGAGTCATCAATTTCTTTTTTTTTAAACAGAAATATAATTTTTTTTAATAAAGAGAATTATATTGCGATGAAAGACAACTTAAATTATTATTTTTTAAATACAGCAAAATATTTTGCTCATTGGAAATATTAAATTTAATCTATTAACTTGAAATTAAAATTATAATAAAATCTTCAAGAAAGATTTTTCATTTTTTAAAATTAATTCTAAACCTTAGGTATCGCTTTTTTTGTGGAGGTTCTTGCTCTAAATTAATGCCCCACCGGTAGGGCTTGGTAATATTTTGGTGGGGCCTGCGTAGGATGTGCACCCTTCATCTTACTATACCAACTGAATAAGGAGACAATTCGAGAATGATGTATTAACATGCAAATTGTTTTCTAGTGAGTCTGAGAATGTTAATGTTAATCCATGTTAATAAATACAATGCATATAAAATATGTATACATCAAAATATTTTGTGTGTATGTATGTACATGTGTAATTGACATACATGTAAAAATTAATAATTACAGCGAGGTACCAGAATTTTAGAAATACCAAAGTAGGGCATGGCCCAAAATTGGTTGGGAAACCTTCAAATATCTCGGTGTATGGATCAAATTTAGATTATATAGATAAAATCAATCTGAAAATTGAAATCTTGTTCTTAAATGGCCTCATCAAATCTAGACTCCCATGCCTATGTTAAAAATAATATCCAACTCGCACTGAAGATTTTAATAATTATGTTCACGCTTGAGCCACTCAAGGTAGAGGGTTACTGCATGGTGTCGTATAAGTGTAAAAAAAATATGCAAAAGTGCAGTTCATTATGTTATGTAGAAAAAATGACGGTTAAACCTAGACTCGAAAGGGTCAGGGTTGTAGCGACCGAGAAACTCTCCTGCCAGCATTCTGTTCCAGAGAGCAGCAGTTCTCAGGAAGAAGCTCTCCGTGTGGAACTTATTCCTTACTAATGACAATACGAAAGAGAATCAGGAGGCTTCATCCTTGTTTACGTGATAAGCCCCGCCTGCAAAGGCCATAGATGGTGGCACCAAGGAATGTAGCATGTCAGAACACTTGGTAGAGTAGCGTGAGAAAGGAGATGTAGAGTTGAAAAGAATTCTTCGCCAACGAGGCCGGGTCGGCGCTTTTGAACTCTATCTATCTGATCGTTGCAAAGAGTATGAAAGGAGGAGTCATATCTAACACTTCCGTCCTGGCCCTGCAACGTCCGGCAACTTACTCTCAGGGTTGAGGTGTCTACTTGGTCCTAACTGAACTTAAGAGACTGGCCATAGGTCCCCTGAGCGTCTGTAGATTATTCGACCGGTCCGCTGGTTTAATCATGCCTCCTGCCCACGTTGTGATTTATTTTATTCAGTAAGCAGAAGTGATGTCCGTCCATTCACTGAAGATGTAGACACGGCTGGGGAGTCTGCGCTAAGAAATTTAGAATGCAGCAAAAAAAAAAAAATAATATCTGCAGAAAGCCGGACAAACATCGATTCAATGGTTGAATTGGTAATGTCTTTTATATAGCAGAAAAGAATAGTAGAGAAGAGAAACGGGTTACAAAAAAGAAATGTAAAAAAAAAAAACTCATACACTTTCTCGCGTGGTCATGTTTGACGTCATGAACTGCGGTGCGATTTTCGCTTCCAGCGTCTTGTATGCACGAGTTTGTCGTTGTTTGGAAATCTTCCATGTAAACAAAAACAGACTATCATCACTGTTTTGTCCGTGTATTGCTTAATATATTGTAATGTAAATGTCATCTTTGATAGCCGAAAGCTTAGATTAGATTAAAAAATATGGTTCAATATTGTGATTTTCTATCTTCGTTTAATGATAATGTTATTAAGCTTATCAGACGATATAAAAAAAATTGCATAAAATAAGTAGACAAAACTTGTCTATATTATCTAATGAAACATGCATCAATATATATATATATATATATATATATATATATATATATATATATATATATATATATATATATATATATATATATATATATATATTACATTGTTTTATAGAATTACGTTACACAGCAGGTTTAAAATAAAATCTTTTTTATATATCACTGAGCGCATGCGCTAGTTTTCTTGTAAAATATTGAAACCTGTCAATGTAGTACAGAGCTTATTATTAAAAAATATTTCTATTTAAATTTATTTTCTTTTTTGCAAAATAAAACATCTAAACAAAGACGGAATTTGTTTATGAGTTAGCAAAATCCTTAGGGTTTTTTTTTTTCGCTACGAAATAACAAAATATATTTGAAGTTTGATTTGTTATGTGTAAGCATTTGCATAAATTAAGTCAGATGTTTCGTAAAGAATACAAATGGCAAATTTCGCATGAGGTCTTCGTTTTTCTGTTTATGTTTCCCACAGCTAAAGTTTCATTGGGTATTGGTAAAATTCTATATCCGGATTCCAACCGCTTCTTGCAGTCACATTACTTTGATACCGGAACTCCGAGTTCAAGTTAATATTTTTAAGATAATAACTGAAAAAAAAAGAACGGCGAAATCCTCAAAACGGATGCAGTTTTCGTTTGGAGCAGGTTATTAAGTATCTAAAAACAAAATAGCTGAAATTCGTTTTCAGTGTTTATTGGTTTTCATCTCGAATATTGTTGGTTCAGGCTTTCTCTGGTATTGTCACTGCTGGGAGGAAGACATTTCATATGACCAAGTTGTACTTTGTTCACTTCTGTATAAGGTCTTGTCAAAATTAAATCATCTCAAAATGGCGATCTTTATCAAACAGACAATGTAAAAATGTCTAACATGAGACGAACGTTTCTGATTTTATTATTGAGTTACATCGAGCCGTGATTTACAGATATACACAAATTTGAGTAAAATAAAAATGAATTCGCTAAAAAGAAGACAGGATGAAGCAAAAAAAAATAAATAAACAAAGCAAAATTAAAAATTAAATTATATTATCAAAATATTTGTATTATTATTAAGATAAAAGATCAAAGGATTTTTGTTATGTGAAAGTTATTTTTAAATCCTTTTTAAAACCTACGAAAGTTTTGTTAAAAAACTTGTTTTTCTGGTGCCAACACGGGACCATCAATTTGTACGGAAAATTTGAGCGTTTTTAGCATTGAAAAACATTGATTTGGAAATTCTTGCAAATATCAAATAATTATCGGATTTTAATGAAACCTTCGGGACTTACATATGAATGAAATTATTTTGAAACGTTTTTTTTTTAAAATCCGTTTTAGAAACTTAAATATCTTGTTTTTCTGGCGCCAATGTGGTACCATCAATTTGTCCGGGAAACTTGAACGTCTTTTTACGGTGAAAAAACTTATTTGGAAATTCTTACAAATATTAGATAATTTATTGTCAAAATCGTCGTGTTATTATTAATAGGATTTTTTATGCAAATTTTATTTTAATCCT